ATATATATATATATATATATATATATATATATATATATATATATATATATATATATATATATATATATATATATATATATATATCCACCGTCTATTTTAATTTATATATATCTACTGACTATTTTTATTTCAAACAATTAAGTGAGCGCCCATTTAAATCAATTCTTCTTTCATTAATATATAATTAATACACGTCTCTTAGTGCATCCATCTTTATTTGGAAAGACAAGAGTCTTTTTGAATTGAAATGCAAGACATGTTGGTAACTCTTTATCGTTCATTAGTTACTTAACATATCGGAATTATAAATTCTACTTTGGAACGAAATTATTAAAGAAAATCTTTTATGAAACAACTGACAATTTATTATGCGAGACATGTAGGTAACTTGTTATTGCTCTTCAGTTATTTAACATTTCAGAATTATAAACTTTACTTGGAAAGGAATTATAAAAGAAATCTCTTGATGAAACAAACCTTTGGTAATTTACTTTCTCTGCTTTCTGGCCCTTTATTTTCTACATAAAATAACAATTCCACTAGATTCTACTACATCAGCCGAAATTAATTAGAGAAGATATTGTAAATAGTCAATAGATTACGTTTAAAGTAAGGAATTATATTACTTATATATAAAAGGCATATTAACGCAAAAAATAATAATCATCCATTTGGCCATACCACTTTAAGTTTGTCATGGTGAGTTAGCATGACTTACTAGTTTCTTTACAATAACTTGGGTTTCATTGTTTATTTTTATTTTTCTATCAAGTCATTGTAATAATACTTTTCTGAAAATTTTCTTATACAATCATTAATCACGTGAATGAAAAATGATTGATTATAGCTATTTTTTTTGTCATTTTTGCAGGACAGAGTTTCCATCTTTCTAGTTTGTGTTACTTCATTTATTCTGCACAAAGGTCTAGCTGCTACTTTTGATGTCACTGATTATGGTGCAATCGGAGATGGAGTAACTGATGATTCTCAAGTAAAGTATTTTTAATAATTAGTTTCCACATCTTATAAAGAAAAACAATTCTGTGAATAGAAGAAAAAAAAGTTGATTAATTGTGTATTGTTCCATTTTGAAGGCTTTTCAACAAGCTTGGCTAGATGTATGCTATGATTGTGAAAATCCAACGATGAACCTACCAAGTGAAAAGTTATTCTTGTTGAGCCCTATAATATTTCAAGGCCCTTGCAATTCTCCCACTATTAATATACAGGTATAATGCTACATTCTCTCTATAGTATTTAAACTCATATGACGACCTAGACAAGTTTGTTTTATATTCGTCATCTCTGATTAGGAGGCATATGGCCCAGAAATATTTGTTAGAAATTAAACTTCAATTCTAATAAACATGTTTCATTTGATTTGGTTTATTAGGAAAGGTTTTAACATTTTAGAGATAAAATTCCAGGAAATCTCTTGTTTGAGAAATGTCTTTGGACAAAAAGGGCAGCATGGTGGTGCACAAAATATCCCGCAATCTCGCGGGGTTCGGGGAAGAATAGTACCCCAAGAGTGTGGCGTAGACAGCCTACAAAAGAAAGAAATAAATTCCTTAAAAGAATTGGACACTTTTTAAAATAACTTTTTAACAAACATCTCACTTTAAAAAAAAAAATAGCAACCATCTAATTGTCTTTCTTCTCATGAATTTATTTTTAAGGTGTGTGTGTAGGAAAAAAATATAAAGGAACAAAAGTGAGAAATAAATTTCCTTAAAAGAGTTGGCGGATTCTATTTTTTTTGTTTTTTTTTTTTGCAGGTTATTGGAGAAAGATTAATTTAATTATTTTCGAATTTAAATATATTGTAATGTTGTTTTGAGTTTTAACAGGTTTTAGGGAATATCACTGCACCCCAAAATTTAACAGAATGGGTAGGGTGTGAAAATGATAGTTGGCTTTATTTCACTGGGATATCTGGTCTCATCATCAATGGCACTGGTCAAATTAATGGTCAAGGTGCTACCTGGTGGAACATTTCTGGTTCCGCTCACAAGGTATGTTTAGAGCTCGCACTCAAAATATTCTAATTCAATATGATAACTTAATAGTCAAGAGGTTACAATTTAAACTAAAACATTAAGAGTTTGAATTCTTTATGTCTCTCGATTTTTTATGTTGAATTGCATTTTTCACATATCACTACTAGAAATTCGGCAAAAACCGACCAAGAAAAACCGACCAACTTTGGTCGGTAAAAAAACCGGCCAAAAACCGATCAAAGTTGGTCGGTTTTACAAAATATTTTAATTTTTAATTTTTTTTTACGAAACCAACCAACTTTGGTCGGTTTTCTTTGGCGCAAAAATGCAGGAAACTATTTTTGAGTCCCGCGAAATTTATTTTTCAAGAAACCGACTAATGTTGGTCGGTTTTTGCAATTAAAATAAATAAAAATTAATATTAAAAAACCGACCAACTTTGGTCGGTAAATTCGGCCGGTCATTTTAAAAAATCGACCAACTTTGGTCGGTAATTTTATTTTTTCGTAAAACCGACCAACTTTGGTCGGTTATTTTCGTGCGAAAATACAATTAAAGAGTATAAATAAATAAAAAAGACAATCTTAAAACAAAATGCACCAATGGTCTAGTGGTAGAATAATATGCTGCCACAATACAACCCCGGTTCGATTCCCAGACGGTGAATCTTTTGATTGCATATTTAAAATACCGACCAACTTTGGTCGGTTTTTTTTTTTTGCAATATTTTTTTTTAATTTAATTTACCGACCAAGGTTGGTCGGTAATTTCCGACCAACTTTGATCGGTATACTAAAGCGACCACCAAAATACCGTCCAAGCGTATTTGTTCGCATTTTGGTCGGTAATTGGCCATAACCGACCAACTTTGATTGGTAATTGGCCATAACCGACCAAAGTTTGTCGGTTTTTTTTAATCGCTAATTACCGAATTTCTAGTAGTGTATCTTGTTAATTATTCGAAGAAAAAGAGAGATGTAAAGAATATGAGTTAATAATATTAAGGAATTTGACAAAGTTTTTGTCTCTCTTTTTTTTTTTGCTAGGTCAGTGGGACTTGCCACAAGCCAACGGTAAGACAATTTATATTTTTCCAAGTGTTAAGGTTATACTTATACTGTGGTATGATGGTCGACGAATTGCTTGAACCCTTTTGTAATTATTGAGTATGAGTGCTCACTTAATTTAGTTAAGTTGTAGTATATACAATTAGTCCTCTATATAACAGCATACCTATATAATAATTATTAGCTATAAAAATCAAGTTCTCTCGGAACCAGCCTTTTATGTTATTTTATAATATATATTTTTTATAACAACACTTTGCTATAGCATCCAAAAAATATCGGAACAAATACGGCTGTTATAGAGAGATTTGAGTGTATTCCTGTAATTTAATCTAATTTTCTTAAAGTTTGATTCTATATTTTTATGTTATAAGTCATAGATAATATTTCAGTATTTAAAATACTGGTAAAATATTAAAAGTTTGTTTAAGATAGTATTTTAAGTTAAACAATCATTTTCACTAATAGATATTCAAACTTATTTTGCAAGTGAAATTCAAGTCTAGGAAAATACAACTTTTAACTAGATATTCTTCTACTTTAGTTTCAGTTTCAACACTCTTAATTTTTATATAAACTTCAAACAAAAATAATATCCAAACGCCTACTAATTGTTTTTATTTTGCAGGCTATGCACTTTAATTTTTGTAATGATCTTCAATTGAGTGGACTGAACCTTGTTAATAGTTCAAGAAACCATATTAGCATCACTTTTAGCACAAGGGTAAATATCTCCAATATCACTATAACTGCACCTGAAGATAGCCCCAACACTGATGGTATTGACCTCTCTATGTCTACTACTCAAGTTCAAATTCTGAATTCCACATTTCAAACAGGTAAGTATAATTTTAATGTACTATAATCAATGTATTAAGGTTCTATTTTTTTTAATTCTTTGGATAAGATTTAAGCTGATTAATTTTCGTAACAAAAAAAATATTCGTACGATTAGGTGATGATTGTATTTCGATCAATACGGGATGTTCTGATATTAATATTACTGGTATTTCATGTGGACCGGGACATGGTATAAGGTAAAAGTTGACCTAAATTTTTCCTTTCATTTTCGTTTTATTTTTGGCAAAATAGATTGGAACGCTAACTTGGCGATTTTTATTAAGTACCATTTTTGTTTTAATGAAATCCTTCTTGCACTCCTCTTTCTTTTTTTTTTTTTTTCGCAGTGTAGGAAGCCTAGGATTTAATGAGACTTTTGCTGCTGTGGAGAATATAAATGTAACAAATTGTACCCTCCAAGGAACACAAAATGGTGTAAGAATCAAAACATGGCAGGTAAATAGAAAGAGGGTTTTTATTTTTTATTTTTATTTGCCAAAAATTAAAAAAAAATGTTTTCCAATGCCTTTTCAGGGTGGTATGGGCTATGCCAGATTTATAAATTTTGAGAATATCAACCTCACAAATGTTCGTCATCCCATCATTATAGACCAATTCTATTGCAATGGTGCTCATAATTGTGGAATTGAGGTAAACATAAAGAAATAAAAAAAACCTCGAATTCTTGATAAAAAGGAACTTATTATATTTTCAAATGATAATTAATCCATATTATTTTTTGTGCAGCCAAATGCAGTCCAAGTGAGTAATGTAACATACAAGGATATATTTGGGACAACACCAAGCAAAATAGCTATAAATCTGAATTGCAGTGACAACTGTACAGCTTGCACCAACTTAGTGTTTGAGCAAATTAATATAACATCAGTTTTGCCTGAAAAACAAACTCGTGCAGCTTGTAATAATGCTCATGGACAAGCCAATTCAACTTTACCCCCAATAACATGCTTGTTAACATAATTATATTACCAAGAAAATTTTCCATTTAGTATAGCAATTAGAGGATAACATTTTTTGTTTAGCAGTATAGTATTTGGAGTTGGACGCATGTTCATGAGTTTAAGCTAATATAAGTTGTCTGTTTTACTTGAATTATCTACTAACTTTGAGTCATTGTATCGGTGCTTGTTATTACATGAAAATCACTTGGAACAGGTATTTTAGTCATATCTTTTATTTTATTTCGAGATTGACCAAAATCAAGTTTGCTGTGGAATTCAAGACCTAATATACCATCAAACTTGGGTACCAAAAATGTCACACTGAGCTCTCTGTTGTTGTTGAACATGCGAACAAAGTACCACATTAGATGCTGATAAGGAAAAAAAGTTGCATATTAGGTGCAACAATGCTCTTATTCAAATGAATAAAATCTGTGCATACACGCCATTTTTCATTCTTTTTAAGAGCTACCATTACATTTACTAGCCAGTCAGGGTAGAGTACCTCTCAGACAGATCCGTTGCCAATAAATTTTAATGATGTGAGATATTTTGGGAAAATCCTACTTGTATAGCATGTTAACGGATCCAGATATTGCTCCAGTCCTGTTGTAGTGAACTGCATTCGTTGTATGGCATGTTAAGCGTGTACCAAGGGTAAATACATACCCAAATATGATGTTTACACCAAACCAAGCTGTTTAATCATGACATTTAGAATTTAAAGTGCGGATCCATGTTACTTAATCATAGTTAAGCAAAATAAGATGACACATAAGAATAATTGGAGCCTAGATCAAATAAGACTGATGCATCTCTATGACAGACCGGAACAATACCTGTAATGATAGAGTCGGATGCAACTGTCTCCGTCCGAGCAGGAAAAGCATAATATATGGCCTGGCCTCCCCCTCTAGGGCGACCTCTACCTGCCCGACCTCCACCTCGAGCTAGCTGAGCAAGTGGAGTGGTAGCTGGTGCTGTAACCATAGCCTGAGGACCCGGTGGAGCACGCGGAGCCTGAGTAGTCTATGGAGGTGCGCCCCTCCTAATTCTGGGGCAATCCTCACCATATGACGGGTGTCGCCACACTCAAAACAAGCTCTCGGATGACGTGGCTACTGTGGCTGGTTCGGGCAAGATCGGTTGGACTGACCGCTGAAAGCATCCAGTGCAGGAGGTGAACTAGACACTGGCGGTGCATAATAGGGAGCCTGAGGCCTAGAAGTGGCCGGAATACCGTTGGCGGCGGGAAGTGCTGAATGAACAGGGCGACTCACATAACCCATGCCATGGCGAGTTGCAGCTGGGGCACGTGTACCACTATAAGTGCTAGACTCTCGTGAGCTCTTGGCCTCTCTCTCACAAATCAGCATACCCTCTAATCTCCTAGCAATCCCCACTATCTGCTGGTATGCGATGTCCATCTTAAACTCTCGGGCCATGCTAAATCTGATGCTGGGGTTGAGCCCCTCAATGAACCGACGGACCCGCTCTCTAACAGTGCAACCAAGGCTGGTGCATGTCTAGCCAAATCACTGAATCGGACCGTGTACTCCGACACGGTGATAGAACCCTGGCACAACTGCTCAAACTCTACGCGCCACGCATCTCTGAGATTTTGGGGAACATATTCCCTCAAGAACATATCCGAACTGAGTCCAAGTAAGTATAGCTGCCTCGGCCGGGCTACACAACTCATATGCACGCCACCACAGATAAGCTCCCCCCTAAGCTGGAACGTAGTAAAAGAAACCCCACCAGACTCCGCTACACCCATTGTACGGAGGATACGGTGGCAACAACAACAACGACCCAGTAAAATCTCACTAGTGGGGTCTGGGGAGGGTGGTGTGTACGCAAACCTTACCCCTACCCCGAGGGAGTAGAGAGGCTGCTTCTGGAAGACCCTTGGCTCAAGAAGACGAAAAGAGACAATATCAGTACCACAAATAGAAACCATAAGAAAAATAACATCATGAAAATGAGAAAGTAGATGCAAAGCAAAAGCGATAGACAATACATAAACCCGACACTATGAAAAACGAAAGAGTAGTAAGACGCAACATTGCTCAAGAAAATCCTGGGCATCCTATGAAGCTAAGCCACTGAAAGTAGGAGGGTGGTAATTCTTGTACTTCTCGAGCCTGCGCCGCTCCTCCTCAGAAACTGCTGCCCTAACCTCGTACTGAACTAAGGCTACCGGCTGCACTGGTATGACCTCCAGAACCCGGTCGACCTAAACCTGCTGCTCTAGGGTACGCGCGGCGGGAATCTGTGCTCCTTACCGGGTCTGAGATGTGTTAGGTGCAAGTGGGATTAACCCTGCTTGAGCTAAATTGCCGAACATGCTCAAAAACTAGGCAAGTGTCTCCTGAAGAGCTGATGCAGTAACAGGTGTCTCAGCTCCCTGCGCTTCAACTGGAGCTATTGGTTGCTCCTCTGTAGCAGCTCGTGTGAGTTCTCTGGCTGCACCACATGGACGTCCTCGGCCTCTACCCCGACCCCGGCCTCTCGCAGCTCCAGTAGGGGGCGCGGGTGTCTGGTCATCTGATTCGCCCGTACGTGTCCTCACAACTGTGAGGGAATAGAAAGATAGAAGTTTAGAACCCTGAAGTCATCAAATTTTGAACGACAAGGAATCAAAGAAGTGAAATTTTTCCTAACAGTTCCATAGCCTCCCGAGAATAAGTACAGATGTCTCCGTACATATCTGCGAGACTCTACTCGACTTGTTTGTGACTCATAACACCTATGAACCTGGAGCTCTGATACCAACTTGTCACGACCCAAATTCCCCTCTATAAGATGTCGTGACGGCACCTAGTCTGTAAGACTAGGTAAGCCTAACAATTGCGGAAAAACTGAAATAATAACTGAAATAACGGCTAAACTTAATAGATACATATATAACTGAAAACTGCGGCCCGGCATATTATACAAGTAAAATCTACAACTCCGAGTATAAACAACTCCAAAAACCTGGTAGTCATAAGCCACAAGCTCTAAGGAATGTACTAACTATCTCTATACATCAGTATCTAAGAGAATAAAGAAGAGTAACATAATAAGGATAGAGAGGGACTCCGAGGTCTGCGGACACTGGCGGATATACCTTGAAGTCTCCAAGTAACAACACACACTCTACTAATACCGGGGCTGGTAGGATGTACCTGGGTCTGCACAAAACATATGTAGAAGCGTACTATGAATACACCACAATGGTACCTAGTAAGTGCCAAGCCTAACCTCGGTAGAGTAGTGACGGGGCCAGGTAAGGGCCCTACTGGAATATAAGAAATTAAGGCAGAAAGCGAAATAACAAAGATAATGGCAGGTAAATGAATAATAAGAATGTACCAAAAAGCAACAGCACAGGAAACAAGAAGACAATTACAACACGTAAGGAAACGAACATCTTACAAGTTAAGGAACAACAGCAACAACAAACAACACAGAAAAAGAGGGAAACAACAGAGGTGCTCCCGAGGTACCGCCTCGTAGTCCCAAAAGCAAATATCTCACAACGGTACAACAAAAACCTCGTGCTACAATCTCACTCCGCACAGAAGAAACCTCGTGCCAAATCACACTCCGCACGGAAGAAACCTCGCGCCAATCATACTCCGCACAAAAGAAACCTCATGCCAAAAACACTCCGCGTGGGAGAAACCTCGTGTCAATAACACTCCGCACGGAAGAAACCTCATGCCAATAACAATCCATATGGAAGAAACCTCGTGCCAATCACACTCCGCACAGAAGAAACCTCATGCCAATAACACTCCCATGGAAGAAACCTCACACCACAACCAAACAATCATCACAACAAGAATCACGAAAGCCAACACGTATTAAATACAACAATGATATTACAAACAAGGAAATCCTATATGAAAGAACAAATATGGAATCAAGGAAAATCAGGTAATTCAACTAATCATGTTGTACAAATTGCAACTGAGAGATGAAACACGTAGACATGTGAAATTAGACTAAACATGAAGACTACACGTTCTAGAATAACTCATTTAAGATATAAAAAGGAAACTACTTAGCAAAGACCGGATTTTCAACATTTAGCCAGTGTACGCACTCGTCACCCCGCGTATACAACACTCACATATCACAAATTGTTACAACAGTACCAAATCCTAACGGGATTTCCCCCACACAAGGTTAGACAAGTCAGTTATCTCGAAACAAGCTCAATCATTCAATAAGAATGATTTTCCCTCGACTTTCGACTCCAAACGACCCAAATCTAGCCAAAAGCAATTAAATATTATAAATATATCTATAAGAAAGTAATCTAATTAATGAGTCAAGAATTTAACAAGAAACTAAAAGATCGCCCCAAAAGTCAACCCAGGCCCACGTCTCAGAATCAGGTAAGAGTCACAAAATTCGAACAGTCGCTCAACCACGAGTTCACTTATACCTAAATTACTCAAATCTGATACCAAAACCTCGATCAAAACCACAAAATTTAGTCTAAGACTTTCCTCCATTTTCCTCCAATTTTCCACCCCAAATCACTATTTAATTGTGAAATTAAAGATATAATCATGGAAGTTAACCAAAACTAGGTAAGAATCATTTACCCTAAACACCCACGTTAAAATCTCTCCAAGAATCACCTCCCACCGAGCTCCCAAATCAATTTTTGTGTTATGAACTCAAACCGTCGTTTTTGAACATTTAAATATGCCCAGGCACCTTCTTCTTCGCGAACGCGGAAGCTTCCTCACGTTCGCGAAGCACAAAAAGCTACTGCCCCAAAAACCACTTACCGAATGCGAGAACCTAATCGCAAACCCGGTGAACCTGAGCCAGACCTTCGCGAATGCGGCCCTTCTTACATGAACGCGTAGGGCAACATCACCTGCCTCACCTATAACCCTTTGCGAATACGGGACCTCCTTCCCGAAGGCGTAGGGTATATTCTAGTAGGCCTCAACCTCCTCTACGTATATGTGGGAACACCTTCGCGAACGCGTAGAAGGAAACCAGACACCA